TTTGAAAATTTTGATATTAACGAGTCAGTGGAGAAGGTGAATGCCTTACTTAATTCTTCTTCTACACTGGATTTTCTTCCATGGAAAGCCCGGTTTGAGTCTCTTTCTCTTCTATCTAGAGAGTCTACCATACCATCTCTTGTCACACCACCTAGACTTGAGATGAAGCCACTCCCGGCCACACTCAAGTATGTATTTTAAGGCCAAAGGATACTTTACCTGTCATCATTGCATCTAACTTGACTGCAGAGCAGTAGAGTCAATTAATGAGTATTCTCGTGGCATATCGGAGTGCTATATGGTGGTCGATGGCTGATTTGCGAAGGATAGGTCCCTCTATGTGCATGCATTATATACATTTAGAAGAGGACACCAAATCTCGTGAAATACCTAGTAAAGGTCGATAGGTTTTATTTTCCTTTTGACTTTTTAGTCTTAGATATGGAACCGGTAGCTAGCTCCAGGAAGCAAATCTCGGTGATCTTAGGTCAATCTTTCTTGGTTACGGCTAATATATGCATAAATTGTTGTACCGGGGTTATGGAAGTTTTATTTGGGAATATACAAGTGAAACTCAATGTTTTTCAAGCCTCCCAATAACCCTATGAGAAAGAGGAGTGTTTATTTGTGGATGTTGTGGATGGGATTGTGGAGGAGGCTTTACCCTTCATTCTTGTCGAGGACCCTCTAGAGGCTTGTTTAGCTCATTTTGGGTTTGAAAATTTTGATATTAACGAGTCAGTGGAGAAGGTGAATGCCTTACTTAATTCTTCTTCTACACTGGATTTTCTTCCATGGAAAGCCCGGTTTGAGTCTCTTTCTCTTCTATCTAGAGAGTCTACCATACCATCTCTTGTCACACCACCTAGACTTGAGATGAAGCCACTCCCGGCCACACTCAAGTATGTATTTTAAGGCCAAAGGATACTTTACCTGTCATCATTGCATCTAACTTGACTGCAGAGCAGTAGAGTCAATTAATGAGTATTCTCGTGGCATATCGGAGTGCTATATGGTGGTCGATGGCTGATTTGCAAGGGATAGATCCCTCTATGTGCATGCATTATATACATTTAGAAGAGGACACCAAACCTCGTGAAATACAACGAAGGCTTAATTCCAATATGAAAGAGGTGGTGAAAAAGGAGGTATTAAAATTGTTGGATGCAGGTATTATATACCCCATCTCAGATAGCAAGTGGGTGAGTCTCACGCAAGTGATGCCCGAGAAATCGGGTATCACTGTTGTTGAGAATGAGTGAGGAGAGTTAGTCCCCACACGAACCACTATTGGGTGGCGAGTGTGCATTGATTACAGGCGATTGAACTTTATGACTAGGAAGGACCATTTTTCTTTGTTATTTATTGATCAAATGCTTGAGAGGTTAGCGGGACAGGATTTTTATTGTTTTCTAGATGGTTACTCGGGGTATAATCAAGTCCCGGTATACTCCGCTGACCAAGAAAAGACCACCTTCACAAGTCCTTTTGGCACTTCTGCCTATCGTCGAATGCCCTTTGGGCTTTACAACGCACCAGTGACCTTTCAACGGTGCATGATGGCTATCTTCTCTAACATGGTGAAGAAATTCATAGAGGTCTTCATGGATGACTTCTCCGTGTTTAGGTCGTCTTTTGAAGAGTGTCTCTAAAACTTAACTAAAGTACTTACTCGATGTGTGGTAACAAACCTAGTTTTGAGTTGGAAGAAGAGTCATTTTATGATTCGCGAGGGTTTAGTGTTGGGATACATTGTGTCCCCTCGAGGTATAGAGGTTGACAGAGCTAAGGTTGACCTCATTGTAGGCCTTCCTCCATCCAATTCTGTGCATCAAGTTAGGTCTTTCCTAGGGCACGTAAGTTTTTACCATCGATTCATCAAAGATTTTGGTAAAATATCCTTTTCTTTGTGTAGTTTACGTGCTAAGGACTCACCTTTTGTCTTTGATGAGGCATGTCTTAATGCCTTTGAAACACTGCGAGCGGCCCTTTCTTCTGCCCCTATCATGCAATCTCCTTAGTGGTCCCTTCCTTTCAAAATCATGTGCAATGCATCTGATTATGCCCTCGGTGCCGTCTTGGGCCAAAGGGTGAATAAAGTGCCGCATGTTATATCCTATGCTAGTCGTGCTCTTTTTGATGCTCAATTAAACTACATTACCACTAAAAAAGAGTTACTAGTTATTGTCTTTGCACTTGATAAGTTTCAGTCCTACCTCCTAGGGTCTAAAGTCATTATGTTCACAAACCATGTTGCTTTGTGGTACTTATTGTTCAAAAAAGAGACTAAACCTAGGTTGATCAGGTGGATTCTACTCCTTCAGGAGTTTGACCTCTAGGACAAGAAGGGATCCGAGAATGTAGTTGCGGATTATCTGTCTAGCATCTTTATTGAGCACACAAGTGATCCATTAGCCTTGCATGACTCGTTTCCCAACGAGCAACTTCTTGTGGTATCACATGTGACCCTCCCATGGTTTGCTCACATAGTGAATTACTTGGCGGTTGGTCAAATTATGAAAACTTGGTCTAACCAAGACAAAGACCGATTTTTCTCACAAGTCAAGCACTATTTCTGGGAAGACTCGGAATTGTTCAAGTATTGTTCGAATCAAGTGATTCGGCGTTGTGTCCCTGGGAGTGAAACCCATAGCATTTTCATCTTTTGTCACTCTCATGCATGTGGCGGCCATTTCAGTGGGCAGAAAAAGACCGCCAAGGTTTTACAATGTGGGTTCTACTAGCCCTCTACCTTCAAAGATGACCATAACTTCTGTAGAGCTTGTGAGCGTTGTCAATGCATGGGCTCTATGTCACGGCGAGATATGATGCCAATGACCCCTATTTTGATTGTTGAGATTTTTTATGTTTGGGACATCGACTTTATGGGTCCCTTTTTACCATCTTTTGGATTTGAATACATTTTGGTGGCTGTGGACTATGTCTCCAAATAGGTGGAGGCAATGACCACCAAAACGAATGACCACAAAGTTGTGGTTCAATTCCTCCATGAGATCATTTTATGTTGTTTTAGGTTCCTACGTGCCATAATTAGTGACGGTGGTAAACATTTTTGCAACCGATTCTTTGAGGCATTGGTGCGCAAATATGTGATCACTCACAAAGTTGGTACTCCCTACCATCCCCAGACTAGTGGTCAAATAGAGGTGTCTAATGGGGAGGTTAAACACATCCTTGAGAAAACTGTGAGGCCCGATAGGAAAGATTGGTCCACTAAGTTGGTTGATGCACTTTGGGCCTATCGCACTGCATATAAGACACCTATCGGGATGTCTCCATATAGGATTGTGTTTGGAAAACCTTGTCATCTCCCTGTTGAGTTAAAACACTGGGCTTTGTGGGCCATTAGGAAGTTCAATTTTGATATGGCCAAAGCCGGTGACCACCAGAAACTCCAACTTAATGAGTTAGAGGAGCTCCACAATGATGCATATGGGAGCTCCAAAATTTACAAGGCTAGGACTAAGGCATTTCATGATAAACACATTTCTTGTAAGTCCTTCGAGCTTCACCAAAAAGTGTGGCTGTTCAATGCTAAATTGCGATTGTTCCCAGGTAAACTCAGGTCTCAGTAGGATAGCCCATATGAGGTTATAGAAGTCTTTTTGGATGGGCGGTTGAAATTAAAAATCCACAAGATAGTACGACTTTCAAGGTCAATGGCCAAAGATTGAAACACTATGTAAATGGTATTGAGAAATGGGAGATGATTGAGGTCGTCCACTTGACGAACCCAATATATTTTCCATAGTACTTGTTTTGAGTCTATAAGACTTCAAATCCTCTAAAGGTGTAATTCCTTTGGTGTTTGTCGTGCCCGAACGACATCTGATGGTCTGGTTTGGCCACCTAACTGTGTTTATAGTGAGTTCTTAGGAGACCAACTTAGACGGTGGAAACTAGAGTTTGAATGGAAAAGCCTAGAACGCAAAGGTTTGGAATTTCTTAAACTAGAGTCTTGTTTAAATACCCAGGGGTGTGGAGATTACTTCAAAACCACCCAGGCTTGAACTCTGTATGGCAGCCCCATAGGTCGAGTTAGTTTTATGCGCCTCGATTCTGGATACTGAATCAACCTAGTCTATCACCCTGTTGGAGAATAGGAAAGTTACAAACACTATTAAGGAGAAAAGTAGTACCCGTGGTTTTCACGTGAAGATTATACATTCGTTGCACATTTCGATGTTTTTGATGTTCTATTTTTTATTTTTATTTTTATTTCATAGGCGCATTGCACGTAGAAATGGTTTAATTATTTTATTTTATTTTATTTGGATTGTGATTGGGTTTTTATTTAAGAAAATAAAATTTTAAAAAAAATTGGGTTGTACTAGTTTTAACCAAAAAAAAAAAATTTGCACAAACTGCACGTGTGGCCCAAACTGCCGCACGTGCAGAGAGACCAAGCATGGGCGCACAAGCGGATGACCAGGCCGCACGAGCGGCCCAGCCCAAAAGCCTACTACTCAAGCGCCGCAAGAGCAACCCAATTCCGCTGCTGAAGTGGCCCAAAAATCAGTACTCGTGCGGCCTAAATGGGAAATTGAGCGGTCCATTCCCCCCCTAAAAAAAAAGAAAAGAAAGAAAGAAATGCACCACAAATCAGCGCTCGTGTGGCCTAAATGAGTGCACAAGCGGCCCAGGAAAAAATATATATATATATATACTTTCAAATTTTATTTGTTTATTTATTTTTATGTACTTATTTTTTTATTATTTAAAAAGAAAGAAAAAAATTTGTGTAGTTTCTTTATTTACTTTTTATTTATTTATTTATTTTTTACTTTCTTTATTTCTCTTAACAAAAAAAAATAAAAAATAAAAAATAAAAAATAATAGTAATAAATAAATAAAATAAAACTTGCAGATTTTATTTTTTTAAAATTTTTTATTTATTGTTATTTACTTTTTTTTTATTTCTTTCCAAAAAAAAAAAACCCACTCATATTTCAAACCTTAGACCCTCTTTTGACCATCACTTTTCCCAGCACACTATCTCTCTACCTCTCATCTTCTTCTTACCTCTCTCTCTCTCAACCCCACAAACACACAAACTCCATCCAACCCCACCATCACTTCTTCTTCTTCCTTCTTCCTTCAACTTTCACACACGATCACCCTCTCACCGAAGCATCACCATCTTTTTCGACCGGCAACCTTCTGGCGGCCATTTTTTCCAAAGGATCTTCTTTCTTTCTCTTGTTCCTATATTTTTTTTTAAGGTAATCACCCTCTTTTTGTTTAGATTTCTTAGTTTTCACTTGTAATCTAGTAGTTTAACGGTTGTTTTTGAGGTTCATTCATCATCTTGTTCATCATTGTCATCCTCACATACGACCACAACAACAACAACAACCACACACACACACCCACACACACACATACACAAAACAAAATCTAAACTAGGCATGCACCAACAAACCCACCGCACGTGTGGCCATCTCCGGTGCATGTGTGACCCAAACACACACACAAAAAAATTATAAAAAAAAATCCATAATAATAATAATAATAATTTGCCTTATTGTAGCCTATTTTTATCTAATGCAGTTGTTTAGTTTAATTGTTTAGTTAGTGGTTCTTGTTAGTTTAATTGGTTAGTAGATTGTTTTTATTTTTGTTTTAATTGTTTAGTTAGTGATTTTTTTTTTGTGATTTAATTATTAGTTTAATTGTTTAGTGGTTTAGTTTTTATTTTATTTTGTTTTTATTTTTTGAATTTTTATTTTATTTTATTTTATTTTATTCTCTTCTACTAACTTAGATTATTTTCTTATTTATTTATTCATTGCATTTCATATGTGTGTTTGTAAATTTGTCTCATGCTAACTTAGTGTAAGTTAATTTTTTGTAGTATATAAAAAAAAATTTAAAAAATTGAAAATTAAAGATATCCAGTAGTGTGATGGCAATGAGGATTTGCATGATTTGTGCATGCATGCAATGTTTGATGCGTTCTAATATAATGGTTTCACGTTTTTTGTTGTTCTCATTGTATTATTTTGTGAAGGAATGGCTACATCGTCTCGCCGAGCACCTAAACGGCCTCGCAATGCCAACATTGCTGCTAGGGATGTACCAACTGACACTTGGGCCAACAAACCAATTGCATGTAATACATCCTTTGATGTGGACCCCACCGCATGGAGTGTCCGACAACTTGAAAACTAGGACCTCCTGGGCATTTGCACCGTCACTGAACCGGCGTATCCTCGCATTGTGCGAGTCTTTTATCAAAATATATACATCAATGACGAGGTCCCAGGAGCTCTTTGCTCCCTTGTTAATGGCGTGGAGTTAGTGGTCACACCAACTTCTATTGGCAAGGTTCTCCACTGTTCCATGAACACTATCGATGAAGAGCAGCTCCCGATGTTCACTCAGGAACTCACAATCCTTGCATTGGTCACCAAATTTTATGAGGGGTAGCAGGATGATAATAACCGCACTAACATCCGTCGGGCTAACTTACCGCACCGCCTCCTTTTCCTTGATGTGGTTCTTAAAAAGAATGTCGTCCCTCTAGGCCACAAAGAAAAGCGGTGAGGGGACTTCCTCCGTGCCTTGTACCGATTTGACTTCGGGTTTTGGGTCGACATCCCTATTTTGATCTTCAACCAGATGTTTCGTATCCTTAATGAAGTCAGGTTGTGCAACACCCGAGGCAGTTCTACATGGGCCCTCCATTTCGCTAACCTCATCATCGCACGTATAAAAGGCCAAGGGACATATCCATTGGAACCTAATGAGGTTCAGTTTCCGCTGCCCACACTTTATGGTAAAACCCACTGGCGCCAAACCACTGCTCGCCTACCGCCTCCACTACTCTTCCCCGATGCCCTGGCCAATCCTAATGATGTTTCGGTAGAGCTTGCTGCTGCACCAGCCCCAACACCACTGCCATTTCGTATGGCGCGGGCGCAATATCGGGCTCTTTTGGATAATCAAGCCGCTATTCAGCAATCTATGGTTGATCTCCGAGTAGACTATCAAGCATATTGGGATCATTCGCATATGGCATTTGATGGGTATCAACAGTCAGGTGTATCTCTACAAACTAACTTCTACGCATACTGGGAGTCGACCCAGCAGCGGTTTGATCAACTTGGTGCTAGGGTTCATAATGAGGCACTCGAGACTCAGATGCTGATGCATGCCCTATTTAAGCAACATTTCCCACCACCACCGAATCCACTTCAGTGATATCTGTATATTTTCTTTGTTTTATTTTCTTTATTTATTTTTGTTTTATTTTTTTTTTCTTTTCCTTTTATACTGTACAATACCAAAAAAAAAAAAAAAAAGTGTGTGTATGTTTGGTGTGTCCTTACCTCGCTAGATGTGTACCTCCGCCGTCTAGTAAGATCCTCTTTCTCTCATTTTACTATTTACTATACAATTGCTTACATTGAAGACAATGTTGTATTCCAGTTGGGGGGTGAGGGTATTTATAAAAACAATTTATGTTTGTACTTGTTACACTTGATTGCACCACTTCACTTGATTTTCACTTTGTGCCAGTATGGTAATGATATAAGCATATGTTAATTGGGGAACATAGTGGACTTGTATGAAAATGGTTTGTTGGGTAAATACTCACATGCGATGTTTGCACTAGGATAGTTATTTGTGTTTGTGGTATTAGTACACTTGTCATGAATATGCTTGGATTCACATGAACACACTATCATAGCAGTGACCTCTCTATTATAATCTCTGGTGTACATCATTGATAATGGCTAGGGTTGTAGAAAAGAATAAATGAGTAGCCAAAATTCTTTAAAAAAAAAAAAAAAACACTTGACTTGTTTGGGTTCGTAGCCTTTTTAACTCAAGTTATTAAGCCCGTAGGGGTGTCTCTACACCTAGTGCCCTAAAATCGTCTGGTTTGGGAGTGATTAGCCCAATATTTGCTACATGGGATAATTAGAAAGTTTAAGGGACCTAGACATTGCACAGTTAAGGAAAAATAAGAAAAATGACTTATTCGGATTCGTAACCTTTTCAACTCGAGTTATTAAGCCCGTAGGGGTTTCTTCACACCTAGTGCCCTAAAACTATCTGGTTTGGGAGTCATTGGTCCAATGCTTGTTACATGGGTTGATTAGAAAGTTTAATGGATTAGGACATTGCATAGTCTTTCAAAAAAAAAACTTTTGAGAATCTTGGCTGCAATAGTTTAGTTTTTCTGTATATGTTGAGTGTTATTATGAGTTACACTGGGCTATTATAGTGGACAGTTAACTAGTATGGAGATTGCACTTTACACCGAGATACTGATGATGCGTCTACTAGCATTTACAAGTACAGGAGACTTTAATTTTGTATTAACATTCCTTATTACTTGTCCACTGTGCCTTCAATGACTTATCATGTCTTAATATCGCACTGTAGTGACACATAAGTTGATTGTTAGGTGAAGTAGTATGGCTAATTGTTGTTGAGCATATATGAATTTGTTGATGTTGTGGGTATCATTTCTAGAAACCCTTACGAGACTATACTCGTCCACTTGGGATAATCTCGTGGTTGAAAGACTTGTTGCATATACTAAATGCAATCATGATTCCTACGAAAATGGCTTAGAGTTATTTTACTTCTCTTATTTCTTTTGTTTTGCTCGAGGACTAGCAAAATGTAAGTTAGGGGCTGTGATGTGGGCCGAAAGGTATCACATTGAGGTCGCTTAAGTTACATTTATAGTTTTTTAATTTTGTTTATTTGGTGGAGATGATGTGTTTTGTGCACTTTTATAGATTTGGCAGGAAATACGCAAATTCAATAAAAAAGGGCGCGAAAGCAAATTCTCCAGGCGATAAGCGAAAAATCCAAGCCAGCCACCTCATCGCATGTACGGCCAAGCTTCACCGCATGTGCAGCCCACCACCGCTCGAGCGGCCCACCTAAGGTTGCATGTGTGAAATTTTAAGGCTCTTCTGCTGGGAATAAAAGGAAAAAGAGGACATTAAAAGAGGGTTCAAAAATTATTCTAAGGAAAGGGAGGCAAGAGTTTTGAAAATGTGATTTTTCCTCAAGCTTTAAGAAAAACTCTCATGAGGGCTTCTTTCTTTTCCACCTTTTCCAACTCTTCCTACTCCTTCATGAGTGGTTAGGGTCTTTTTTTCTAGGGTTTTGATGAAATCCTATCCACGTAAAGAGATTTTTCTTGAGCTTTGATTGTGAAATGGTTTGAACAAATGTATGGACGTTTTAGAAGTTTATAATAATTGTTCTTTTCATCTCTTCAAGTATTTTACTCTTTGTGATTGTTTAATGTTTTTCATACATTAGTTTTCTTTGTGTTTGTGTTCAAAGTACGAGACGAGTCATGCTACGAGAGACGGGTCCTGTTGCTACCATAGTTTAGATCGTGCTACTCGGGATGATTCGTGTTTATACGTTGAATGCAACAATCCTCTTTATCAATATTTCAAACTTGTAGTTGTGAAATATTGAATATTTCAAACCAGATTGCAATTAATGGCCGATGTTAAATCTCATTTATGTACTTAGTGGTGAATTCTTTGCCCTATCATTTATTCCAAAAATTAATATCTCAAACTCTAATTTTAATTTTCAAATTAATTATACAATTTCATTTAATTCTTGTTTAGTCATAATATCCATCAATCTTTTTAATCAAAATTAATTTAGGAATCTAGCAATTAAATTAGTTTAATTTCTCGTTTGTCCCTGTAGATCGATACTTGAATTTACCATTATTCTAAAGTATTTGGTATAATTTAGTATTTATTTTTAGTGTATGAAATGACCCATTAGATATCAAAATAGAAGTGATGTATTCAAAAATATAGTATCGCTCATAAAATATTTTATAGATTCCAATAATATGAGATCTCTTATGTTTGCTCAATAACCTCATTATGATAAAAGACAAGGCCAAATAGAAGACAAACTTATATGGCAGCTTCTCAAAATATAGAAATAATTTATTTATTTATTTATTTGGGGGGGTTGTGGTAAATGGGGCAATGATTGGTGGCCACAAATTCTGTGGCATAAATGGCCCGAAAATACCAAAACGACGTCGTTTTGGATACAAAACAACTCTGAAAATGCCAAAACGACGTCGTTTTGGCATTTTCGGACCATTTTAGCCACATAATTTGTGGCCACCAAACATTTTTCCGTGATAAATGGGATGTTTCGGTGACTATGAATTATTTTGGGAGGGCAAAATTTTAGTTTGGCAAAAGTGTTCTTGAGCACAACTCCAATGGTTGTATAATTAGAAATTTAGAAAGGTTCAACAGATGGGTTGTACACTCTTAACTTATTATCAAGTGAAAAAAAAAAAAAAAAACACATGCTTAAAGTTTTCCAATAATATTTGCAATCATAAATGTTTACAATGCTTGTTGGTTGTCCTAATTTACCATATGTGAATTTTACATGTGTTCGCAGATTTATTACGTTTTTATTAAATACTTTGGAGATATTATCCTCACATACATATTTATGTATGTAACCAATAAATATCAACCAAAAATGCTATATTAAAGATCTAGGTTTTATTACAAAATTGAAAATTTTGACGGATACACGTAAAGAGCATGCCATGAAAATCAACAAAGCAAAAAATTTAAAATGACAAGTTTTAAGTTAGCACCAAGGATCCTCTAGAGTGAAATTTTCTTAAAGTTTCCTAGAGGGCTATATTGTGTGGTTGAGATTTACTGGCAAGTCACATCAACCACACAATATAGCACTCTAGGAAACTTTAGGGAAATTTCACTCTAGAGGATCCTTGCTCTTAAGTTAGAGGTGAGTGTTTTTTAATTCTATTAGGTTGTCAAGATAGATGTTAGTTGATTGTACCCAACAAATTCAATCAGGAAAATAAATTATTTATCTTGATATTTTTTAAAATTAAAAAATAATTTCTTTTCGCTCAGGTTACGTATTCGTTATTAATGAAAAGAATTACAGTTATTGAATAAGTCAAGACATACTAAATGTCATACTAAAAAAAATTAATACCACAATAATAATGATATCATTGAAACGTGATAATACCGTTCAAGTAAATAAATTATCCATCATAGCAAAAGTTATTACAATAAAGTTCACCATCTTATTTGTTATTTTATTATTTATTGATAATACTATAGGTTGGTGATGAACAATTATACTGATTTTTTACTCATAATATCAAAATGCACCAAACAATAAGAAATTTTTAAATGTTGTTTAATCAATGCTCACACTTATTATTAATTAAAACATATCATGCTATTTTTTAAAATATCAATATAAAAGTAGTGAGACTTAAGGGCTTTGTTTGATTTCAAAATATTTTTATTTTTTGGTGAATAAATATAAATTAATTTGACAAAAATAAACCCCAAAAAATATTTTTAATTTTTCAAGAACTATTTCTACTTAAAAAGGATTAATCATCTAGAAATTATGAATATTTTATATTTTATATTTTTTCTCACCAAACTAGTGTTTAATTTTAAAAAATTGGTAGCAAACATATTATACATAAACTTACAATAAGAAATATATATATATATATATATAATATTTTGAAAAAATATCTAATAAGTTTTATTTTATTTAATCCTATTAACATATGAATCAATCTTTCAACCTATATAGTTGACTTGTTTGATACAACTTATTGTAAATTAAAAATTGATAATTAGAGAATAGAAATATGTATAAAAAAAAAATTATCCCATATAGTTTTTAGATAATCAATTTTTTTTTTTAAACTTATTTAAACTATTAACAAAAGGTGTATCAATCAGTCTAAGACAAAGTTATAAACAACTAATTTAAATTAGGGGAAATTACAAATTAGGAGTAGTTAGAGAAAAAAAAATTATGATTTTAATTGTTAATATTTATAAAGTTTACCATCGACTGTAATTATTTTTTTACAAATATCACTAATATGATAGTTTTCCAATAAATTACACCAAACAATCTTAGTGTTTATAAGATTCATCAAAATTTAATTGCAAAATATGAGTCATTTGATATTTTTACCCTAATTTTGTGCAAGGATCATTATAAAATAAACACTTTTAAAATAATATGTACCATATACAAGTTATAACATTTGTGATATTCATAACTAAATTTTTTTAATATAACTTTAAAAAAAAAAAACTTAATTAAAACCAAACATTACATAAGGTATGATGAGCAAATAAATATGTTTTGAATTATAACCAAATAATATTGAGAATAAGTTACAACTAAATCATAAATTAATTAACACTGGAAACATTAGTAACTGTGATATATAGGTCTTGTTTAGAAAGTTGACTATTTTATTTTTTAACTATTTTAGTGTAGCTAAAATAGTTGTGTTTGAGAAGTTTATTGATTTTTTGTAATTAATTTGATAATTGTGAGAGAAAAATAAAATAATTATAAATTGGATTTGACATTTTATCTTATTATTGTTGTACAAATTGTGTAATTATACAAAACAAATAAATTCATATTTGATAAATAAAATTATAGAACATCAAATAAATCTATATGTACAAATTACATTATGGAACATGAAACAAAAATACATAACACACAATATATTGAAAGACGAGAAATCAAACCGAAACCTTTGTGGTACTACAATCTTCTTAAAATAGATTAGCTGCCTCACCATGGATGCTGGAGGTACGTCAACTTTTGTCTCCCGGGATACAACGGTTTAGATCAGCTAACGCAAAAGTATCTTCTGTTAGCTTTGGCGAACCGACAATGTTAGCACTTTCTCATACTGGAAGAAAATTATAAGAGCAAACAAACTAACTGTATAATTCTGGAAGGCAAAAATTTGTATTGACAACCAAAGAGGTTGGTCTCTATTTATATACCACAGAAGAGAGAGGAGGAGCCTCCAGCCATGAAGGCTAGCAACCAATGCCCATTACTCTTGCAAAACTACAGGAGTAATACACAAAATTAATAGGGATTCAATGTGTGAATTACACACTATACACCTATGTGTATATACATATCTACAGCAGACTTAGTCCAAAAAGATTAGGTTGGTGGACCACTAATCTGGCTCAGTCTAAACCTAATCCATTCCAACAAGCCTCAAGCCTAAGATCTACGGACCTAGACCCGGCCTGATCCGGTTCTGTCAACGTGCGCACACACGTGTGACAATTTTGCCATAACCAAGTTAGACCATAGTTTTGGTCCAAGCCCATTCTTAAAGTATTCATAATTTCCTTCCTTCGAAAAATTTGGATTCCCCAAAGGATTCATGCTCTTATCAAAATCTTGAGGTTTAAATACTCATCAAAGCTTTCCTGTACAATCAATGTAGGATTGGTAGCTACACACAATTCCCAATACTTCATTCATGAGGCCAATTTTATAAGACAATTACTTATTTAATTATTAATGGGTTTTAGACATTCTTTTTGTGGTATAAAGACCTTGTTAAAAAAAAATTTAAACTCATTTAATCCCACCTTAACTAATAGTTGAGACCTACTTTAATTTTGCATTAAAATTACTAAAAAATTATTTTTTCAATAATTAATTATTTTAACTTATTTTATCTTTTAAGGAGTTATTTTAACTCAATTTTCCTACCAAACACCCCCATGATACACACATTATATTATAAAATTTTGGAAAAATCACGTCACAATAGACAGACAAAAATTACAAAAATGTAGGGTGCAACTCAAAGTTACGGCCTTTATGTTTGTGGTATTTTTTTTTTTTTTTTTTTTTTGAAAAAAAGATTAGGGGTTCTGATTTGTGATGACCTCCATATGATATGATGTTTTGTTTTAATTTATTTTTTTAATTTCTATTAGTGCTGTGTTTTGAGCCTAACTCTAGAGTTGTCTATTATTTTTTATTTTTTAAAAATCTTCACTAAGACCATGGTTCACTAAATTTGAATAAAAAAAGGATCATTTTTTCAATCTGATACAGACTGTTCTAATGATTGTCATCAAAGCAGGGGTCAATCGGTTAGTGTGGTTTTTTTTTTAACCTCTTTGAACTTTTTGACTTGTTTGAACCAACCTATTTGCAAAAGAACCAGTCGACCGGTTGATCCACCGGCAGGTTGATCGATTGGTCTCCCTCAACGGTCATGCACAGTAAACTGGTGAAATCTTCTTCCTATTCTTACTTTGATGAAAAATTTAGTAAATTTTTATTTTGATACCAATTTGATAAAATCATTGAAGTTACAAAAAATAATTTTTTCACCAAATTTTAAATTTGA